ATTGTTATAAAGGGTTGATCATTGTTATAAAGAGTTGATCGTGGTTATTAAGGGTTGATCGTTGTTATAAAGGGTTGATCATTGTTATAAAGGGTTGATCATTGTTATAAAGGGTTGATCGTGGTTATAACGGGTTGATCGTTGTTATAAAGGTTGATCGTGGTTATAAAGGGTTGATCATTGTTATAAAGGGTTGATCATTATTATAAAGTGTTGATTGTGATTATAAAGGGTTGATCGTGGTTATAAAGGGCTGATCGTTGTTAACCGCTTCAATTGCACACATACTGATTTCAAACCCATATTAAATAAAATGCAGCTATCATTGTATTCACCTCACACACAGAATGACAGACTGAATCTGTTGGTGCAGGCTGCTACGCGATATATTCGCCATACGTTACCTATGGGTAGTTGGTTGGGCATGGTGGAATTCAGTACATGGTCGAGGATTACGACCAACTTGACCCAGCTGACCGACGATCAAATAAGGGAAGATCTTATAGATTTGCTGCCCAAATGGGCCAATGGCAATACCTGTATTGGATGTGGTATACTGGACGGCATTCAGGTAATTCGGATTATGGTCGTTACGTTTAAAACCGGACAGCTTTCATCTGTATCACAATTATGGTTTATATTTGTGCTATAATGCACGGTAATAATGGTATATATGGTTGGAAGGCATCCACGAACACTAATAAAGGGATACTTTCCTTTGTTTTTAGGTTCTCTTGGAATATAATACCACGAAAGGAGGGGTATTATTTGTCATCACCGATGGCCAAGAAAACGAAAAACCGTATATTAGAGATGTTATGGACATTGTCGTGGAAGCGGGAATTGTGGTGGATACATTGGCATTCAGCAAGCAGGCTGACGCACAACTTACTATAATTTCTGAGATCACCGGTGGCAGAGCATATTACAGTCCTGAATCATCCAACTCAACGGCACTACATGATGCATTCTTTACAAGTGTCGTTGACAGGGAACTAAGCGACAATCGAGCGCCGGTGCAGGTAGGTTGTGGCATACACTTGTGGCATCTTCTGTTATGTAATGGCCCGCAATAACGGTCAAATATCACGACGGTTAATTTAATACCAAAATCAAATACATTTCTCAAACTAGTGTTTTCGCGCGTTTGGCGTATTATTACCAGCATGGGTCTACAAACCTCGGTCAATGAAACTAGTATGTTCTCACTTCGTCTTGAAATGTGTCTGCATGTCAGCTTTCTGGGAACAAATAAATACACATGGGTCTCGTCGGTTCACACTGAATTATGCAGGAATTCGACATGTTTGATAAGTCGGTGCAAGAATGGTTTATGAGTTACTGCCAGTACCCGACATTATTTAAATTGTTTTCTTGTTTTGTATGACAACCTTTAAATTGTTACTAATGTACACTTATACAATTGTACGTTTCTACAGATAACAAGTAAAATTGAATTAGCACCTGCTATGGGAACAGTACAAGATTACACTAACATTGACTCGACCATCGGCTCAGAAAGCATTTTTTTCTTCTTCATCCGAGAGTTTAGTACACCGAGAAATGTGCTGACTGTTGAGCTAACGTCGCCATCGGGAAGCGTGCTTATCGACAAGGATTCACCAGAATATAGATATGAGCACAGAACCAGAACCGTAACAATAAGTATGCCAGGACACATTGAGGTAAGCGAAATGTACACGTCGAAATATATAACACGTGGTTTTTTGTTAATTATCCATCTAGTACGATTACTGATATAGACATAACGCAACAACGTAATTCATTACAGACTGGTAGATGGACATATCTTATTCAAAACAGTTACCAAGATGTTATACCAGTAGAGGTTTCTGTAGAATCAAAGGCCGCAGACGTCAAGGAGGGTCCAATGAAGCTCACGTCGACAGTTGGCACTCCCGTCATTACTGAAACACCGCCAAAAACGGTAATTTATGCAGAGTTACGAAAAGGCCACTCGGCAGTAACACGTGCAAATGTGGTAGCCGTTGTTGAAAGACCAGGAAGTAACGATGACGTAACCATGCAATTGATGGATAATGGAATGGGTAAGATTACCATCCGTAAATGCCGTTAACTGCCATTTGCACAAGACTGAAAGTGCGACTGCAAGTCCAAATACAATGAATTCATACTCACTTCGAGTTTATAATATATCGTTGAACAGAGGGATTTTGTTATTTTTAGGTGCCGATATCACCAAAGACGATGGCGTATACTCGGCGTATTTCTTAGACTTTGTGAAAACTGACGATTGTATCGTAGCATGCCGGTATACAGTTACAGTTGAAGCCAGTGACTTACACGGTGGAGCTGGCATTCAGTCATTCACCTACGGGAGCGGAGCTTTACCAACAAATTCCAGTAAGTTGCATTGGAGTTCGATGACGGCACACCGATTCCTGCGGTAGAATATAACGACATAGTGAATATTCATTTCATACATATGGGGGTCCACGCTTAATATTTTTTGTGAACTTCATTTAAGTAAAAGGACATTTTAAAGCCATATTTCCTTTTCAAAGATCATCGGCATTTCAACATTCAACTATAAATATAAGTTTAACTCAAATCAGTCGATTTTTGCGGCAAGCGTTTAGTTCCGTGCTCTCCACGCATTAAGTGAGATCTCACAGTGAATGGTCAACCATCTATCGCAAAAACCAATACTTTAGGAAGTTTTTCAAAAGTATTAGCTCGATGATCAATATAATGTTCATCACTGTCAACACGATGCGAAGTTGAATTTATAAATACATATGCACTCCTTATTTTCATATCCGTAGCTGTGATACCGTCCAGGTCCACTGAACCCCCAACACCTATAGGAGATTTCGACCGTAGTGCATCGGGTGGCGTCATACAAATTGACGACAGTATTGTTATAACGGAGGAAGATCTCCAGAAAGATGGATTCGCGCCCTCTAGAATTACGGACCTTAGAATTGTAAATTTTACTCTCACCGGTGTGGTCCAATTAGGTTGGACGGCAACGGGTGATGACATGGACAAAGGAACTGGTGAGTTATACCTTGAAGCGCTAACATTACAGTGTCAATCGCAAACTGTAGTTGAATCGCATATTCTCGGGGCGCACCCACGTCACAAAAAGTACTGTGTTGCTTAGACAATGTATATATACCAAATTTATATATGTTGCAAATGTATGGGTAGTCTTGTTACATTGTTCAGGAGAGTCTCGACAACTAGGCCAGAGTACCGCTGTCGTTGAGAGTTGTCGGCTTTCATTTTGACCGATGATCGTTGCCAGGCGTTGAAAATCCCCGGATTTCCGCCCGAGAATACTGATTGAGATATAAATGAAGTATAAATTGTGCTCATGTATTCCGCCGTATTAGAATGTTTTCTTGTTCTGAAGTGGGTCATGTTAAAAGCATACTGTAAAGGGGGTAAAGGGGGTAATTATTCACTGGGTTTTAATTTAGCTTATTTCGCTGACTGGAAAAATGCGCTAAATTAAAACACAGTGAATATGTAAAATTTAGCATAGAACACATTATCCAAATGACGAAACCGTGAATTTAAAACCCTCTGAATATGCCTGAAATGATAAATCAGCGAAATTTAAACCCAGTGAAAATTAGCCATTTTACAGTACTTGCAGCCGTGATGTGAATAGCGCCACTATTGACGGTATATTAAATACATTCGTCTTTACGTTCTTTTTTCTTTCTCAGCGGCATACTATGATCTTCGTATGAGTACGACGTTTGCGGAACTATTTTCAGTCTTTGGCGAGTGTTTACAGATACAGGAATCTAATTTAACCGACGGAACTCTCTTATCACCACTTCCAGCAGGCTCCCCTGAGACTGTCACTATTCTAATGCCAAATAGCAACAGCATAAATAGAACATATTACTTCGCTATTGTGGCTGTTGACGAGGTTGGAAGCCGGTCCGTCACATCAAACTTCGCATCGGTGTCAGCTGCAGCGATCGCCCGTGAACCTGTACCTAATTCCTCGGCAAAGCTAGACGTGTGGCACATTGTTTTGCTTTCTGTTCTCTGTGCGGCAATACTTTCGATTGTTATCTTCGTTGTTGCTTACGTGATTAACAGGAAAAGCAGAAGCAAAAATAGAGTTCGTCCGTTTGAAGAAAATGACACTGTAACTCGTGGCACAGCGACTCCTTAAATAACATATCCGAAATTTGACTCAGCATGCCAGAAGGGTGAATCACGTGGGTGTTTATGCGAGAGAGGCGTGTTTCTATTTATCAGTTTTATAGCTCGTCAATAAAGGGGAAATCATCAACACGTTTATTGGCGTAAACGATCAGAATACGCTTAATTAACGACATTATATATATGTTTCATTGTCAAATAAATAACCAATAATCAGTAATCGAACTTCTTTATTTTTCAACACAAGTTTCGTGTCACAGATATATTTATATGAGAGAATTCAATAAATCACATAATAACAGCTGGTGAGCTAGTGACATAATGTATAATGTGTAGATGGTAGACAACGCCCACTATTTCAACCAATCATAGCCAAATTGACGCGTTCGTTGCTTTTTGGTTTACAGGTTAAACCGTTCAAACGCATTTCAGCTCGAAATAGTACTAATAATCGCAAATGATTGTATTATTTGATCGTAGATGTGGGTTTGAATATGTCGACAATATACTTAGTCCAGTTTGTGCAAAGTTAAGCTGTATATAATTGCCTAAGATCCGTGCCATTCATGTTCCCTGGCCGTCAAATCTGAATGGTCACTGTTCTTGCACGCAATATGGGGATGTGACCTACATTCTTCGAAGTCTATGCGAAATATTTTTGTGATAATTGTTTTTTTTTTTACTTATGTACGCATAGTTTTAGACCCTGGCCAAAATGGGGTTTCGTGTTAAACTCGTATATGCGGATTTTACCGTTTCTAATTCCCCCAAGCTTATCTTGGCCAATGACGATCTGTTATGCAAATGAGCCAGGGCGCTCTGCGATGTCCCGAATATGTGCTCAGGATCACAAATTAATGACCCTACAATTTTAAGCTTTATTAAACTCTGAACATATTAATAAATCTTATAATGTAGTTGCATTCGTTGGACATTTCCGATCTACCTCGAGCCTAGAACCCGTCGCGATGTTTAATCGTGTAACTTTTTACGAATAATAGTGAATCAGCAAGGAGCTAGGAGTACTCAGGTGTGCACACACGTATGCCGATAGTATGTAACGTTCTGATGTCATGTACATGTGATTTATATATCGATCTATTTGATTCATTATCTTGTATCGGGGGCATGACCACGCGTGCATTCGACTTGGTTTGGTGATTAATGTACCTGGAAAGAAACGTCACGTGATGGCAATATAAGGGCAACCTAGGCGAGAGAAGTCAATGAGTGATGGCAATATGAAGGCACCCTAGGCTAGAGCAGTCAATGAGTGATGGCACCGAAGTATGTGCTGTCTACTATGTAGTTACAGAGCGAGTCACACCAGGATTTCCAAGGCTATCCTTGGATGTACTTGGAGTGGCTGGATTTCATGATCAGTCTAGTATAGTACCACTGTGACTGAATTGATTCATAGTAGTTTAAATAAATCATATAAAAAAGTGGCTACCTAAATGGTGAAAACACGAAAAGCACTTTCCAATAAATATAGGATTCACTGTAAACAAAATGAAATAAGAATATGTTCCAGCCTATAATGATTAATTTAGTCGATATCGATATGATGACAATAATAATAATAATAATAATAATAATAATAATAATAATAACCTTTAATAAGCGATGTTCACTGCGTGACATACCGCTGTACAAAACATGAACACAAATCTCATTAGGAGAAAAATAGTATTATTAAAAATTAAAATAACAAGTTTCCAAAGCTCTTTAAAAATAACATTACCATTAAAATCGAAATTAAATGAAGAACTGTCTTCTAAACAGATGAGATTTCAGATATCTCTTTAAAAACATTGATATTGACTGACGAATAGAGTTGAAGTTTACTTCACAAAAAGGGCGTATTTGCTAAAAGAACGCCAACCATATGTTTTGTGGTACAATTTGAGTTTTGTCTTTTCAATAACAAAATAGCAATGACAAAACATATCCAAACTGTTTGCGGTTGGCTCACATTTGTACTTGCGTGTCACATGACCTGTGACGTTGAATAAAGTGAAGGTAACGGGACGGATACATCAATTAGCGTGAAGCGTCCCACAACTGGAGCTGGTCAACCATTTTTATAGTGTGTGTGTGTGTGTGTGTGTGTGTGTGTGTGAATGTGGCACAATAAGTCATAATTATGACGCAAAGATAACTATGTTAAACTTCGCCAACGTGTGTGCCCAGGCTGCATTAAAGTAACTTTTCCACGTTGTAATATATGCATAACACCTCCCCGCTGATTATTGTGATCTCCGTAAATATGAAAAAAAATATATAAAATTTATAAAAAGTTATAAAATTAGTATACAGTCTGGAAATATTGGAGCACTGGAGATTGCCTACACTGAAGGTCGTGGAGTTTAATCACTAAATCAAATATACGTTGTATTGTTGTAATCATTCGAAGCCACTTATTCTGTTATAGGAGTTTCTTACAATTTCGATTACAGGTTTATAATAGGAATAGTTCATCATGAACCGTAGGTTTTCTACATATCATGATAAGAGGGAGTGCAACAATGGTCGGTGACATGGTGGTTTAAAGCACGGTTACTAAACCGTGGTTTATTTATAAATTAATATTATTCTAAACTACACGCATAGCAACACATTCTGAAAATAAAGTAAGAATGAATGACAGAAGCTAGGAAACTAAACAGTCTGACATGTTCCGGTGAATGGTGGCTGGAAACTGGTGAATGCAACCCATGTATTTATACTTAGTAAACTGTGTAGCAAACCATGTAGTATTAAATGTTATACTGGTAATTAGACTCCTTGAGGCTTATACAGTATTACGTTACACGTTGGCCAATCCAGACTGCTTTCAAGTTCAATTATTAGTTGCACATAACAATGTTGTCTGATCAAGTAGAGTATGTATATATATATATATATATATATATACGCTTGATCATGACAGAATTTTGGGTTTCAAAGCAAAAAAACATGTACAGCATCCTTAAAGCTTTAAGAAAATAATTGCGCCACCGTGTTTGTTTGATTTTACATTTGATTGGCAGAAAGACAAGTTGTGCACCGGTGGTTTTGCCGTTACTGTGCCCATGGTAGTACCTTCCATGCTGTGCCGCTCCAAGATATGTAAACATAGTCACGCTTTGGTGGTATGATGCCGTATCGTGCCGGGTATATCCAGAAGTACAGTGACACACAATGACTGACATCCTAGGCCATTTTCGATTACAGCTGCAATGGACACAGTATTCTCTCGCTTGAAAATAGCCCTGATGCAAGTCACTCTTGGTGATATAAATGTTTCCTGTGTGTTCTTGTTGTAGAAACTCTATTATAATTGCATCCTTAGAAATACGATGTTTACATCAGTTAATAACAATAATAACAAGGATTAGTTGTGATAACTAATACCTAAAAAGGGAAGAAAGTAGGTGATGTGATAAAGCACAGTCCCTCTATCCCGGGACTGTGGATAAAGCAAATGTTACACGCCAGACAGCATTGTCATTTCTTGATCGAAATGAGTTGCATGTATTTATAAAGTTATTTATCTTTATTTTATGATCTCATCTTTTGAAGTCATTCAAATATAACATTTATGGAGAGAATTCTGTATGAATATCTATTTGTCCGATTCGGGTATACTTGAGTATAGAGTGTATTGAATTAGGACGAAACTTTAATCACAAATCGTCTCTATTTGTTATTGCAACCAACATAAAGGAAATACTTTATCAACATGTGCTAACAGCGACAGCTAACAGCGACCTGCAATATACCCGGAACCAATTATGGTTTGATTTCTTGTCAACTAAACTGGCGAATCACGTTCCTGTAGTCAAATTGTTCAAGTTGCAAGCATGACGTACCCCTCTAGTTCGATCTGTCAAGCCATGGCCACCCAGGAGGCCTTACTTATTCTAATGTTCAGAGTCAAATCTCAGAGATATAAATTTCGTTGATATTATATAACCTCCGGGTTTTTCGCTGGTACTGTAGTATTGGGTTAATGATTATTCCATATTTTATATTGCCAACAATACTGTATTAGCAAAACATAGGAAAACTATCATAGCCTTGCCCTTTGGAAATGTTGCAAAGGGCAGATAGTGGACACTTTGAACGTCGGGGCTCGGTAAGGAAATATCATGCAAGGGACGGCTGAAAATAACTAGGTGTAAACTATCAGGTTTGGTGCACATGCTAGAAAATCACCTGGTTTATTTTTTTAGACTAAATAAATGAACAAACGTAAGATAAATTCATTGGAGGTACCTGCATGTGAAATTTGAAGGTTTGACACAAAGTGAACGAATTTTTGAGGTCCATGAAACGGGACATTTGGCGCCCCGAATATTCATGCAATGCTCATACGTGTTTTGTTATCATGTAATATTGGTCTGGGAAATTGTAAACGGAAACATTTGTGTGTATTCCTTCATGTTTTTCAATCACAATCACTTTTTTACCGTATTTTTTCGTTTTTATTCTTTCACAAATCTGAAAGGTACCTTCATACAAATATTAATTAACCCTACTCGAAGTCGATCATTTTATTTTTATCAAACAATTAATTACAATTAAAGAACATATAGCATAAACTTGACAAATATTAGGAGGACTTGCGTTTTTCATCCAAAATAAAAAAAAAATAATCATCAAAATTAGTCTTAAAATATCATACCAAAGTGATCAAATCTAAGAGATGTCTACCGATGGTACATATCTACCAAGTACTAGTATTTGCATAGATGAGCTCACACAAAACTAGCTAAATGATGACGGCCGACAGACATCATGATTTGCTAACTATAACTATAACCTTCAATTCATATGACCGGTATGCTTTTTCATGAAACAAAATCAACATTTTGTAAGTAAATGACATTCCCATTTCATATCGAAAGAACAGTCATAAAACCGACGGCCTATCTATACTACTGACTGGAAAAATAGCATGAGCAAAGCTAAATTAAAATTTGGTTGTACACGTGACACTCACTACAACCCACTTCGTAAGGTGACTCATAACACGTGCTGATTATACATTTAGATGACAATCATGAACATGGTCTAATATGGATAGAATTCATCACGGGTGTCAATAAAGTAAACAAGACTATACCTTTTATGGATTAAGCTCGGCAGCGTGGGCTCAACTACAGATAACACTAGCGTGACATCCGCCCACGAGTTCGCAGAAACAAACGAATGAGTCGTGAGAGGGCGTTAACCGGAACACAGGATATCACCTTTCAAAGTTTCAGGAACTTCGGTTTGCTTGACATTGAGACCTGAATTCGTTCACATTAAGTCCGCCGGGCGTTGTTGTCACATCGATCTATCGCTGCAGTTGAAGCTCATAACTAACAGAATGTGGACTTGTGCCGTCATCCGAATCACAGTATTATCAGTATGTGTGAGTATGTGGATTGGAGGTCGAACGTCCGCCGAGAGGGCAACTATTTCAGCGCAAGCAAACGAATACAAGGGGCTTGTCATCGCGATACATAACAGTATACAGGAAGACGATCGACTAATCGAGAGAATTAAGGTCAGTGTGGTCTACATAACAATGGGATTTATTGAAATAAAAAGCGGTATTGCTTGCACAAAATGCTGTTCTAATGTATGCAAGTTGTTATGTTTACGTCCTGCATGGAGACATGTCGTGGTAACAGGTCAGGGGTACAACTTGGGGGGCAAGTAACATGCTATCATAGCCAGCACGTCTATAGATGTGTAAAATGGTCGTGGTTGACTGTTAGCTTCATATTTTCACAATTGAATGTGACCTCTATGGTCTCACGGTTTATATTTAGCATATTTTCAGGGACGCGATAATGTGCACTCGATATCCTGAACGTATCCTTCACACACACACGCCGCTGGCCCACTCACAGTGCACATACGCGTCTTTCTCTTCTGTATGAGCATTGTTTGCTGTCCTTGGCGTCTTCCGCTAACAAGAGCGGCTGACCAAACTTTCAAAAAATCAACATCATGAGGATGCTATATCAGTCCTATGTATAGAATATACTAAAATTTACCATTATTATCTCTCTCTAAACAATTAATGGGCAATGTCTAGTCACGTGATATGATGTGGAATCTGTCGCGCGTAATGTATTATTCCAAACTGGACAACGGGACTGTAGCAATGTTTTAACAGTATTTTCCAAGCATGATGCCACTTTGGGAATAGTTCATCGCGCATGCGCATGTTGCGTAACTATGATCCGTCAGTTGGGCCTGCATACAGGTGGAGGTCTTACCGTAAGCTGTTTCTAACATATCACTTTGTACGATACATGAAGAAATTACAAGCATTCTTCTGTCACATAATATGGCGATTATGGCGGCGAATCCGCGTTTACGTCGATTAGGTGCATCGCATAAACCTGTATTGCATTCCATTACAGGTATTCAGTATAAAGAAATGTCAATGAATTACCTTAGTGTGTATACCGTGTCACTAGAAAGGAATAGTTTGGCGATAATAAATAAACCATTGAGAAGTAGAGATACAATTAGAACAATTTTGCAACTTTTGTTCCAGCATTCTGAAACGCCCATCAAGTTCTCGTTCATTGTTCTATCTCCCTTGGTTACCTGACGTCAGCGCTTACGGTCCGGTTGTGGTCATTTCCTTTTCACTCTCAAAAAATGCACGAATATAAAAACTTTTACTTTTGTTACCACTTTGCGCAAAATAGCGAAAAAAAGCTAGAACCACATCAACTACGAAGTATAAGCAGGTGGAATGAATGGACGTGGCGTTAATGCAGTATTACGGTACTAGTTACGTATGGAACGAACATTTAAATATTTTTAAATTACGTCACACAGTCGCTTGAATCCAGTTCTGACCAAGTGCCGGAACAATATGGCGATTACTAGTTACCTTTGTCCTACTTACCATTCGCAAGGGTCGCCGGGAACCAGTGAAACTGTGGCGCTGGCGAGGTTGTGGGACACAAGCGAACACGATAAACTAGAGCAATGATATGTAATTTATACCAGACTGTGTGAACTGTGTGATATAATTTAGATTCAAGTTTCGAAAAGTGCTTAGAATATTTCATTCAAGTTTGATTTACGAATCAGAATAAAATTTTAACAGCAAAATTAAGACAGGAAACATGGTTCATACATATTACACATACTGGCATACTGTTCGTTATAAAATATTGTTATTCTAAATGGTTGTAGTGGTTTATCCCTCAAAACAATGGTATCTCCCACTACTCATTATCCGACGAAGAATTCACTACTGGTATTCCAATTTGGAAGCAGGCACCGGACGCCTGTCTGAAAGCATCATTGCTGTTAATGTCAAACTGAAAAAAACGTGCCCGTCAATATCACCCTCGTCTCGACTGTGAATACAATTTCACAGATTATGTTTGAACTTGGATATTGTTTCAAACAAAATGAATTATTTCTTTGTATTTGTCATAAAAGTGCTAAAACAATGTTGAAATCTGGCACAGTGTTACAAATTTAGAATGTAGTTTTTGGGGTATATAAGCTCAGTTGAGTAGAGTTAGGGATAGTTGACGTAAACCCACATAAATGCGCATGTACGGCAAGTCAGTTAACACACCAAGTATTGGAGTTCGTTCTCAGAAGCGGCGACACTAAATTTTGCATGAAGGGGTGAGATCTGAAACCTACACCCTCTGTAACACTATTTCCTGTATTTTGAGGGACAAATTCTGCTGACACAAAGGATTTCAGCTTGATGTGGGGGAGACGACGCCCCCACATTTTGTTCGGGTGGGCGGCCGCCCCAACACCCCCCGTGTCGCCGCCAATGATTATTTTAGTATAAAACAGTATGCAAGCCAAATCTAACTTGAGAGTAGATGTAGACACTCGTGGTAAAACAATATGGTTATTTTAGAGTCGGAGTGTATTTAGCACACACCAACGTATATTCAGTGTAGTAGAACAAAAGGGTCAAATGTCATGAATAAATATATCTAATGAAAAACAAAAAAAGACATATATTTGAAAACAAATACATGTACGTTATAGTCATGGTAGATCATAAATAATAATAAAATAACAATGTTCCGACAACCACTATATGTGATCAGAAGTATAGCATAAATATAAACAATAACCGGAATAGGGAAATATAGTATCATTTGTATGTTATAAGAGCACACAAATGATTTCTTTGCGCATTTTAGTTTATAACAGGAAGTATATATGACTCATAATTATTACGACACCTGTCGTTTTTTAGTAGTACAATAGGTAAATTATTGGTTGTGTGTATGCATTGAGGCAAAGATATATTTCTATTTGACCATGAAATGTAATACATGTATTGTTTATTGTTTTGTATTCGTAGACTTGTAGTTCTCGTCAAAAAGATACAATGTGATGAATAATGAAAAAGAAATCTCAAAATCTACAATTTTCTATGATGGCTCTTAATTTTTAGGTCGTATTTGGGATTAATATTTGAAAAGAACTTATTATAAACATTTACCATAACTATAATAATTATATTTCACATCGCGTGCGTTTACGTTCAAGTTCCGTCAGATTAAATGAAATGCAATCAAACTTCGATGCGTACACTGTGTTTCATCAACAGCCCTCATCATTGAATGGCACATCATGGAACATCATTGCCAACATGCATGCGTGCAGCAGATGACATAAATTCTAGAACATTATATGTTAAGACTGTCACGTTTGTTTCCTTTTTACATCAGCCTGATGATTTTACCTGTAACGGCACGTAATCTATTCGGGGTCGTGACACCTTTTAAAACCATCGTGCTTGTAATGGGTCACTTGGTATCGATTGTTTGCTATGTAACAATGTTAACACAGTTCAATTGGAATCTAATCTAGCAGTTGCTGTAGCTTATGAATTTCTCATCCACTCACTTATTTAAGGTCACATACTTCCGACTATAATGACGCCCCAGATCTACAGTGTTTAACATAAATCATGTTACAATGTCAGGTTCCAACGAGCTGGGGCACTATAACGACAACAGTATTCAACTTTTCAAAGGTATTAATTTACTTAGTCAATATCACAGATCTGGTTGTTTCTAACTTTCATTAAAAATTCATTAATATCATACATTTATTTAACATAAAAAACATTCGTGCGTTTCAGCTATGCATCGCAGCCACTCAGTTAGAACAAGAAACGCGTCAAGTCACCTGAAACAACCGGCGAATATTGAAACAGCCGTTTGTTGGAATATGCATTGCAAATATTGTGACTACAAAACCAAATCAGAATTAATTGTTTGACATCCATAATGCGTTTATCTGCTAGTGCAAAGTTATTGCATAATAACAGCATGCCATCATATTCTTTGCAGGAAAGACACCAGTTTCTAGTATCCCAGAGTTCCCTTCGCACCTAGTTAATAATTGGCAAACGTATTGTCTCTACACAGACCGTCTTTACGACAGGTTCAGAATACTTATTTAATGCTCTGCAGAGAAGAATCTTTTGGAAACAAATCACAATACTCATCCCAAAGACATGGTCGGTAAAACCTGAGTACATGGCAGCGAAAGATGAATCCTTCGAAAGAGCGCATGTTATTATTGACAATCCCAACCCCGATTGGGGAAACAACCCGTACACTCAACAGATAGGTGGGTGCGGTAAGAAAGGAGAATACATTCATTTGACTCCAGACTATCTGTTGGATAAGGACACAAGTGAATACATTTGGGGACCAGCAGGTAAGTCATTTTTTATGCATCATGAAATCAGAAGATCTGCCACGTTGGGTTGTGCATTGTACTTCGTGATCAGTGTATGTGATGAACATGGTTAAATGGTTAAATGAACATGGTTAAATGAACATGGTTAAAAAAATATGGTTAAATGAACATGGTTAAATGTGAAATGTACATTTAAACATTCAGCAAACAATTTTTGGAGCAATTCTAATCGAGAAATGTCGATTTATTATGAAACGTTATTACCCCTTGAGTACTTAATTGCTATCAGTCGCGCTTTCGAGTTTCTAAACTGTACGGGCGGACTCACGGAAGAAAATCGGGGTGAGTTGGGATAGACGGCGAGAGTGTGAGAGACAGGGCAAGCTATCTTTTATATGACTAAACAATTGTTCTTTGTTTTGGTGGAATGTTCGTAGTTCCGGTGTAGTGTTTTTTAATCGAACCATTGCTAATGCGTTCACAAATGAAATTACCTCTAGTGTTTCTTAAAAATGTCTCAACGGAAATTGCATTTGGACCCATTTTCTTGTATCGCCGCTCATAACTTGATGTGCTGATTATAAACAGTCAAACCGATGTACATCCGATGCGTTTTATAAAGACAAACTATTCTCCAGTGGTACTCCGGACTAGAGTTCATTACGTGGTTTGTCCCTCAGCTGACCAATTCAAAAAGAACATACCCCGATTTTATTATTCATTCAATGTCTACACTCATTCAACGTAAATATACTGGGATGATGCACGCATTCCATGAACACACAGGTTTAATTAAGTAACTTGAAACACAGTCCCTCTGTATGTGCTTGAAACCAAGAAAAAGTTTTTACTCGAAACAAAAATGAATCATTAATTAGAGAACCGACCAAAATATTTTTTTTAATTCGTGCACATAAAAACACAGTTATTCTTACTATCGGAAATTAATACTGTAGTTTTTTTTGTGCGTGCCAAATCATTCATCAACTTTCACAGAAAAAGAAAATAGTATGAAAATGGACATATGTCGCTATAGCTAAGGAATGAAGTACTAGGGAAATCGTCTATGGTGGCTTTTAGTAATGGCGGGAGTTTTTATATACCAGTGCCAGAATTAGATGAATTTTGTGATTTTGTTTTTGAATTTCGGTTTTGCTGTTTCGTCATAGATACCAATTATTACAATTATTATATTTACACTTATATTTGACTTTTCGTTCTGCACCAATCATTGCTCGTCAGGTTCCTAGAAAATTTAGGAGTACAGTAGAAATAGAGGGGCGTGTAGATAATTATTTTAAAAATAAAAATATATTATTTTTTAATATTTCACGGTTAATATGAGTATAATCTGTGGGCAAAATCCAGTGGGCAAAGATTATGATTTGGTAACATAAATTGTGGCAAGTGTGCCCAATGTCACAGGGTGTTAGCAAATACGTCAGAATATGGAGAGGCGAACATAGCAAAATTATCAAGTTATCTATTGTGAATTGTATGTTTTCTCTCCTTCAATGTTTTATTTTAAAGAAACGTTCTTACACATTTCCGTAGATTTGTTGATGTTTTAATGTATTGTTTTATATCGCATGTCGTTTGTTATTCCGTTACCTACTCGCTAAAAGTTTCATAAGTTTCACTGGTATTGCGCACATTGATACGTCGTACCCCCCCCCCAATTCACGACTCTCTATTTGAATAAAAAGTTAGTTAAAAGCCTAAAATAAAATCGTGTACATATATACGTCGTAACCCCTCCCCTCAATTCACAGACTCTCTATTTAAATAAAGAGTTAGTTAAAAGCCTAAAATAAAATCGTGTACATATATACGTTGTAACCCCTCCCCCCAATTCACAGACTCTCTATTTGAATAAAAAGTTAGTTAAAAGCCTAAAATAAAATCGTGTACATATATACGTCGTAACCCCTCCCCCAATTCACAGACTCTCTATTTAAATAAAAAGTTAGTTAAAAGCCTAAAATAAAATCGTGTATTAGTTAAAAGCCTAAAATAAAATCGTGTACATATATACGTCGTAACCCCTCCCCCCAATTCACAGACTCTCTATTTAAATAAAAAGTTAGTTAAAAGCCTAAAATAAAATCGTGTACATATATACGTCGTAACCCCTCCCCCCAATTCACAGACTCTCTATTTAAATAAAAAGATAGTTAAAAGCCTAAAATAAAATCGTGTACATATATACGTCGTAACCCCTCCCCCCAATTCACAGACTCTCTATTTAAATAAAAAGTTAGTTAAAAGCCTAAAATAAAATCGTGTACATATATACGTCGTAACCCCTCCCCCAATTCACAGACTCTCTATTTTAATAAAAAGTTAATAAAAGCCTGTAATTGAAAATCGTGTGTAATTAAATAGGAGATTGGCAACTAGATTGACATACACGATTAACACTGTCCACCCATCTGATGGTAATTTCAACAGAGCTGTAACTGTTTCGTAATTGGTTTAGTGGTAAAATGCATCATTTGTTTCATTGGACTAAGGAGTATGTTCCCATGGTTATCTTACAAATGTAATATAATAGTGTCTTACCATTGAAAAGAACACATATTTCAAGAGCTGCCCCTATATGAAGGTCAACCATTGTGAATAAGGTGTAATCAATTGCGAAGTTATACAAATATTGTCACTTCCTTTCGTTTGTAATGATTATTTACATTGTCCATAACAAGTTAATTTTTGATAAAAAAGCAGTTTTAATACATGGTGGAGAACATTCTCCAATAACGCAATACAGTAACATGCAGCTGTCTCAAAATACGGTGAACGGACAATGATACAACCTAATACAATATTCAACACTAGTGTAAATTGCAAGACGCGATAGGTCGACAGTCATTGACATAAATGTAGCATATACCCCAGTTTGTGTTGGCCCGGGTTCATTTGTTCGACAACGAATTGCTACGGAAAGCATACTCCCCAAGCACTTGTCGTACGTGCGAAATCAAATACTACTCGATATAACGAGCTCTGTTCTGTATAAATATAAAACATTTGTTGAGAAATCTGAGACATGATTAAATATCATACTATACCAACGTGGTTTTCTAGTAGAGTTCACCTTGGTTATTCCACACGTCTGTCAATTATAAACGAATAGGCAAGATGAAAATAACAGAGACGTACTAAAAAGCGAAATAACCCTACATATTTAACTTACAGGTCGTTTATTGGTTCATGAGTGGGGTCATCTGAGATACGGACTATTTGACGAATATTTCACATCGTACGAGGACCCCGGTGTCAAGCCTTTCTATCTGGATAGGAGAGAGCGATTGCAGGGAACAAGGTGTTCCCTGGAAATCACCGGGATCAACCGAAATGGGAGATCGTTTGCCCAATGTACGATTAATAGAAGGACAGGTCTCCCCGAAGAAGAATGTCTCTTTTTCCCCGACCTCGAGGGTCAGAAAGCAACAGCTTCTGTCATGTTTGCTCAATACTTGGACCCGGTATGTAACACGCGTTTATAGTAATTTGCGCTCTGAACATTAAATAGCATAGAACATTCGCTTGTGAGAATATTCTGACACACGAGCCTAAAATAACACTGTAACATATGTAGTTTTCTGAGTTCATGTAACGCAATCCTCAATTTCACCCATGTAGGAAATAAGGTACTGTTGACAAACAAGCGCGAATAGCTGATGTAATTATTACACGCGAGACGCATCGTGACTCATGCTCCACACTGTGAGTGTGTCGACTAATCACTTCGATCGAGCCGACACTACAGGACACGTTACTGGGCTAGCTTGACGTGTAGGCGTGAGTGGCGCTCTCCCCGGTCGAAGTGCATCAGATACCACTAACGTGTGTTCGGTTTACGGGCACCGCTGAGGGCGCAACATACGCGACCTTGTCAGGCTAGTTACAATAGCAACTATTTCAAAACATTTTTTTTACAATTTTTCATTAGATTTTTGAATTCTAGTTTCTCACAAACTTGTCCGGTATCCTGATGGCCTGAACCCGTAATTATGAAAGTATGAATAAGCGCAATGTTCTATTCACACTTCTGAAACAAACATCGCTCCGCAGACACGTTCAACATGATTTTAATACCCTGTAGGGACTTGCCAACATATTTCATCTTGAGCGCACTAGAGATCATGATTCTTATTCGTCAGACAAACATACACACAATGTAACTGAGCTTTAAATCCTCTTAACCCAGTGAATATCAATTGCTATATATAGAACTTAATTTATGTAACCGTTAACATTCATATTCTGCATATAATTTCTAAAAATTGTCTGTTGCAAATTTGCAAAGTGTGTATGCGACTGTAACAATTCATAAAATATTTAATTTGGTCCAAGCCTTCTTTATACCGGACATCACGTTATATGGCATGCCACGACTTAAACAAACATTAAATCATGCTTTTATTCAGAAAATAATATAGGAGTATCATATAAATATATATATCAGTCGAAATATTAGTAGGATTTCTGGCCAAATACACTGACAGCGATGCGACAATGGTTTCTATTTGGGGTTCAAATTAAAGACGAACTATTCTAATTCAGATATGTATTCTGTGTTTTGATTTACATGATGTTTCTCTTTGCCTTGCTAGGTCACATCGTGGTGTCACAATAACACGGACGATCCAAGCGGCCTCCACAACAGAGAAGCTCCAAACAGGCATAACAGTATGTGCAACGGAAGGAGTACTTTTGAAGTGATCCTGGAATCTAATGACTTTACAGGCAAGAAGAATCTGCCCTTACCACCCGAAGACAATGTCAACACTGTACCTTATTTTAGACTTGTTCAGCGTCGGGAGAGAAGAGTGGTCTTGGTCTTAGATGTATCAGGAAGTATGGAGGTGTGTGTCTTTTTTTTTCAACATCCTTAATTATTTCGTATCTCATTATTTCGTTGTGGTATTACATCGGGATACTTGGACTTTTATACTAGATTCAAGGTCACACGGGCAAATGAATTTACTCTCCTGATCATTTGTATTTTATTATAGGGCAAGCCATTGACACAGCTGTTGCAAGTATGCACTAACTACATACGTAACACAATTGACGATGGTAGTTATCTTGGGGTAGTGAAGTTTGAAGGCATTGCTGAAACTCTAGTGGATCTCATGCTTATTGACGGGCCACAAATCCGTGAAACTATAATAGCCAATTTACCGACATATGCTGGTGGTCGTACAAGCATAGGTGGGGGTGTCTTGAAAGGAATTGAGGCAAGTAGAATGTATATTTGGTAGTTATACTTGAAGCACAAAATAAGATGTTCTAATATTCTCAGTTTTATTACTTGATGTGGACTAAGAGCCCTAATGATATCACTGAGATGTACTTCTTCTGCATCCAAATACATGTTCCACCGTGTTTTTTGTCCGTCACCCTGTGTTTGAAATTACTGTTGAACCTAACCTTCTCATATATGTATGCTGGTGTGAGCTAATATAATCTGGTGCACCTTAATTTCTTTTTTTTGTTCACATGATAAACAGCAGAAGTGCTATATTTTCCGTATTTTTGAAAGTATGAGCTGTCTGAAAGTACTAGATCTGCGTTCAACCTATTGATGGCATAATTGATATTTGTCGCTTTTCCTAAAGTTATTGTTAGGATAGATCTTGAAGCCAGTACATTGTTTGGCAACACAGCAATCTGATTAAAATAAGATCCTGGTTGGCTTAATTTATTTTATTTTTTTTTATATAAATACTATAATTATTATTTATTTTATTTATTTATTTACTATTATTATTATCATTATTTATTTTAATTATTTTTGACGTTACAATTATTTTGCTGCAAGAATGGTTTTGTTCGTGAAAGCCACCGGGATCTGAACAACCCGCATAGGAACTCTCGTTCCAGAACCAGGCAATTTACCCCGCCAATCACAGAGCGTCTTACAAAGCGGTTAAACTCATGTTTTGCGCAAGCGTAGAACTCCAGATGAAAAAATGGCTGACCACACATGTACTGCTGCAGAGGTGAAGTTCGAGGTAGGTTTATGCGTGTTTCGATGAATTTCGTAATGGTTACTGACAAACAATCGTTGTCTCCTTGCATACTTCGCATATTGTCTTGTTTGTAGCTGTTGTCCTGCAGCGTAACTTTGCGTTCGATGGCTACTAGTATTTAGCTTCTCGGATGCGTGCCTTGGCATAACTTGCTGTTAATTGGTTGACACATGTTAACCCGAAGATTTCAGAACACACTCGCATTTATCTGTTTTATGTGTTTTCGTAATGTCATTCAAGTCGGCCAATTTTCGCCTGAGTCACAGCATTTTTAGTATCTTCTACTTTGATCTACGATGTCTATGTATATGAATACATAGTGAACAGTGTTGTTGTGAACGTTTCGTAGTTTTTTGTGTGGACATTGCGTTTGAAAATTTGATATACTCACGCAATTAACGATTGAAGTCATTTAATATTCACAGGAAGCTGAAATAGCTTGCATATGTTTTCTCGCAATTGTGGAGATTATTTAAAGATAGACAGTACTG